AAATAGAAGGGTTTTGCATTAGATGATCCCTTCTGAGAGTGTTTATCACTTGTTGTTTGTCTTTTAGAAGGATAATGCAAGATTCATAAACAGATAACAGCTCTGTCAAAGCCATGTAATTGTCAAATAATCAGCAAACAAGTACATTTAACATCTAAAAAATGAAAATCGTCACTGTCCAAAGAAAAACAAGGATCTCCAAAATGGTAACTTTACAGAAGAAGACAAAACAGGCTTTACTTTTGATGTAAGTTAATGTGAAGAGATTCATCATGAAGTTTGTGCACAATGTAAAGAGCAGCTGCTGTTTTCAACTAATTAAAAAAAAAATAAAAGGGAAAAAATAGAAATACTTTGTTCTTTTTTCAGACAGCAAAGATATATGAATGATCTAGAACCACATTCACTGAGTGTCTCCAGTGCTGGATAGGGTTCTTCTGGTAAAAGCCCTTTTTAATTGTGCACTGAGAATGTTTTTCTATGTGATCAGTTTTTCTATCTGATACTGTAGCTACCATAGTCAGTGTCTCTTAGTTATTAGTCAATCACATCATCTGCTCTCTGAAAGTCTCGGGACGCACTATTAGATAACTCACGGCATTATGAACTGCTTTTGCAGACACCAGAAAAACTTGTTTTTTAATTAAATAATTGAATTTTCATTTGATAATCCCAACTGTCAGTGAAATCTATTCTTACTTCAACTTGTTTTCACAAGCAATTGTACTTACAGGCTAAATGGCTTGTTAGAATAATAATTAAATGCTTATAAATGGATATAAAAGTCAATTAATCATTATAGTTCATCTCAGAACTAATACATAAAAACATGAATGATGTAGGACCACAGTGTGTAACTTCTGACCTTAACTCTCCAGTGCTGAATAAGGTTCCTCTAGTAAAGGCCATGGAGAATTCTTCTATTCTAAAATGATGGACTTTTTATAGCCACCAGTGTCCATGCCTCTGAATGATTTGGCAGACCTGAGTCTTGAGTGGTCTGTGGTATTTAGTCTAGTGCCTGGTTCAGGTTTCGAAAGAAGGACATCTTTCTGAGCATGATGTTCTTCATCTGCTTTTCTGCGCTATTTCCATAAACCGAAACCAAAATAAGTGATCCAGTAATTAACGGACACTGCTTTTTGCTTTAAGTCTGGTTAGACTGATCTGAGTGAGAGTGTGGTTTGAACTCATCATCTTAATTGATTTTCTATGTAATGCTCATGTTGGATTTTCACAACAGTCTGTCAACGCGTGTGGGGAATGAGCGAAGGTTTGTCTGGATTCAGGCTTGCTGTATGGGCTATATTGCTCAGGGACACTTTATCACATGGACATCTGAAAGGTCAGACTAACCGCGAGGAGGGAGTCTGCTTCATACTGAAGCAATTAAAGCTCCCAGAGAATCCTGTGCCACCAATAACAGAAACTAATCAGAGACTCTGACTTAAATTTACTCTGGACATGAAGTCGGAAGTCCCTTTACAGTCGAATCAAGTTATGCTGAAAGGACGGATGTCTGAGGCTGATTTAATGCCGGAGACGAGGCAATAACTCAAGTGTCTGTCGCTGAAACGCACCTTGGTGTGGCAGGGAGGTATTTCCCCATCTCTGAGCTCGGACAGTATTTGTCTCTGAGGTAGAACCCCTCTGTACACACACACACATACACACACACACACAGTCCAGCAGAGCAGGTGTTTAAATAATGCGAGGAACACATTTTTCCTGTGTCCTATTTTCCAAAACCCTTCCACTCATCATCTTCTAACACTTTCAGTTAGAGCACTATTAGAGCTGTGGAACATGACCATTTGTCCTGCACAGACTAATTACCCTCAAGACAAATCTTTACAAAAAATAGTGGCTGTGGTTCAGTTTCTATAGAAATAATCTGTAATGTTCTTATGATTATTTTCAAAATCTGTATCCCAATGTGGACCATATTTGATCCTCTGTTTATGTGTGCATATATATATATATATATATATATATATATATATATATATATATATATATATATATATATATATATATTAGCATTACAATTAAATATATTAAAACATAATAAAACTGTTCCCTAAATGCACATCTTTATTTGCTCTACATGGATTCTGGCCGACGTTCAGTGACTGACTAATGTAAGAAAGTCGTTCTGGTATATATTGGTCTTCTTCTTTATCATATTAACTCATTTTTATAAATTATTTTATTACTATTATTATTATCATTCGTGTTTTTTTCATGCAAATCATATTAAAACCAAGACTGGTCTGTTTTTCCTCTTTTGTCTGTAGAAGTGTCCTCAGTGACCACATCTGCCATCCATAATAAAAATATGGTGCATATGCAGGGTGCACATCCATTTCAGACTTGGATACCGTAATCGGCCGCAATAATCACAGTTATCAGTCTCAACCACGAAGTACTGCATGTAAAATCTTCCCTCAGCCCTCAATGATGATAATTGTTGGTTGTAATACTGTTATTATTTTCGCTATTGATAAGAGATCTTTGTCAGGTAGTTTGTGAATGTAATTTCAAATACAAATTGCTTTAAATGGGACCATTTTGCGCGGCGATTTTGGGGGGATATCATGGAGAAATAGCTGAATGTGAGTGTCAGTGCAGAGCTCTGCTGCGCCGTGTTTGGAGCTCCAGCACTGAGCTGCGCTTCTGCTCCGCTCGTCCGGTTTAGTTTTTTTTTTCGCCTAATTAAATTCACTTTGAGAGTTGGGGAATTTAACCGAGCTCGGCGCGGTGTGAAGGTTTGGAGGAGCCAGAGGGAGCGCTGACAGGGAGCTCTGCTGTCTTTCTCCCGGGGGCGCAGGAAGAGAAAGACGGTGCAGACTGAAAATGAAGGGGTGGAGGTGGAGGTGGAGGTGGAGGGATGCGCTTTCACCGGGATGCTGCGAGCAATGGTAGGAGCCGCTTTGCTTTCTCACTTGCTCCATCAGACTGCTCTGAAAACCTTCTAGCAACGGAGACAGACCAGGAGGAGGTAGACTAGGAGGTTTTCTACCCACCCACAAAGCGAGCACATGCAGGCTTTAGTTTTAGTTGGGCAACTTTGCATGTATGGCAAACAAATTCTTTTCTGAAAAATCGTCCGAAAACACGAATTTCCAAAGCAGTCAGTGTGCAGCTCGGTGGGCTGTCAGTGTATCTGCTGCCTGACTCTGCTGACACTGTGTCATATGGATCATCCCTGGTGGGTTCCATCAAACTTGGACCTCCTGCACGTTCCCCAAATGAAGATGTCCTCTGAGAGTAGAAGTCTGGCGGATTATAGACACAAACAGCCTGCTTAAACTGTAGGAAATCAAAATCATTAGCGATGTGATACATTATACATGGAACAGATTGCGAGTTTAAGTGTTTGCAGTTCTGTTTAGGTTAATCAGCCACTGTGGGACCAAAACATAATGGATATATTGAGAAGCTGTTATAATCCACACTGCTTGACATTTGTAGCTTCCATTGTACAGCGGTTCACGTCTGAAAAATGTGTTGTATGGAATTTTATATTTTATGGTATTTAATCATTGCTCCATCGCATCCAGTACGATTTATCCTTCTCATAATATCATTTAAATTCCAGATTTTAGCTCAAATTCATTCGTTTCTAAAAAATGATCTGTCTCAATTATTCCTACACAAATATTGCATGTGTGGTACTACTGGCATTAATAAATCAGACGTTTCGTCCATGCACTAGTGGCCAACATGTGGTCAGGAAACACAAAATTGCCTGTTGCTTCTACACTTTTCCTATCTGGTCAATTTTAGATTGTTTTGAGGTCACGGCGCAGGCCAGCCCTGCCTATAAATAGACTGGCACTTATGCCCATATATTACAGCTGTCACATTAAACCTAAACATTAGAGATGTGCACTGGTGTGATGAGTAACACAGCCAGTGACGCCGTCCACAAGCAAGGCTTCTCTGTTTTAACTCTGCTCACAATTCGATGGGTTTATTCCGCGTGCAGTGCTCGGGTTTAAGATTTGGACTAATCTACAGCAGGCTGAGTGAAAAGTGATCAGTAAGAGCTGAAAGGCTGTCACTCTCTGAGCGCAGTGTGTGTCACTGGAGCAGAAGAGCAGAACTCAGCCCAGGTGCGTTCACGGCCGCTTAGTGCTTCAGAGTGATTTGAATCTGCATGCCAGTGGAAGTGTTAAATATATGGCTAATTATGCGTATGAAAATTAAACAACAGTGTTATGCAAATTCAACTGGTTTCAGCTGTGGCTCCGAGCACTTGAGACTGGCATTTAATCAAATGAAGCTGTAAGTAATACATCTGTCCCTGAAACAATAAGGACGCGAAAAAAAAAAACAACACACCATTTACTCTTGTATTTAATCATATTTATACAGTGCTTACAAAAAAGCACGAAAATTACATATTAAAATTATGAAGAAAATTCTTTTAAGGCAATTTATATATTTTATACACATATAAACCTTGTTAATATATATTTTTATATAAGAAATTAATTATTTTTTGCTTGTTGATAAACGTTATGTTTAATAAACAAAAAAGGCTTTAGCATTATTATTATTATTATTATTATTATTATTATTATTATTATTATACGTTGATGTGGTGGTATTAATATTAACAACAACAAATAAAATTAACAATGTGTGAATAATAATAATAATAACTATAACATAGTTTTATAGGCAGGTTTATTTTTTGTTTATTACCATTTGTTTGGCCATTTCGCTGAAAGTTTGTTATTTACTTGTTGCTGCAATACAGTCTAGTTTATTGTGATTAATCCGGGTGAATCTTTAATGAATGACAGTCACTGAAACAGTGAATAATGAATAAGATTATTTTTAAAATCAGTGGAATATTAATATTATTTTAATATCTGTGAATTATTTCTTTTTCTAGTTCGTTATAAATGCTATATGTTTCTAATCTGTTTTAGTGATATAAATATGTGTATATTTTGCTTTAGCTGTGACTCCTCCGTAGAAAAAAAGCTCTTTCTCAATGACCCACCCCCTGAATTTCCTTTTTAGCATTGCACAATTGGGTCTCAGGTTTGTCTTATTTCTTGAGTTGATCATATTCCTCGGACCCTACCCCGGGATCGCCAATCCCCACCGTCCTCGGAGCGAGCGGACCAATCAGCGACCACCTCCGATAAATATTCATGATTCCCCGATTCAAACCTTTGAGCGAGTTTGTGTGGATCCACTGCATCACACCTAGACTTTTCACAGAGCCAAACTACATTTTCTTATGAATGGAAAGTGAAAAAATCAGTTGAGCTTAAATTGGGATCCATCCTTCACTGAGATCGTAGAAGAAAACAAAAAAAGCAGGAGAGAGGAGAGACTCGTCCCCGAAGACATGACAATGACTACAATACCAGAGAGTCTAAACAGCCCCGTCTCAGGGAAGAACGTTTTCATGGAATTTGGGCCACCAAGTCAACAAATGTCGCCTTCCTCCATGTCTCACGGACATTACTCAATGCACTGTTTACACTCAGCCGGCCATCCTCAGCACGACAGCTCGTACAGCCCCGCTCCGTCCTTCCCCAGATCGCTCGGTTACCCATATGTCAACTCAGTCGGCAGCCATTCCTCCAGCCCGTACCTCACCACTGTTCAGACGTACCAAAACAGCACGGCGCTGTCGCAGACGCGGTTAGAGGACTCAGGTAAGAAATGCCTTTTTACACACTAATTCTCCAACTTTTTTGAAAAACGTCCGTTTGGTTTGTGTCAGCTCGCCGCGCGCGCTGGGCTGGAGTAGCCCAGATGTGCGCGTATTAAGGCTTGGTAATTATTTATTGCGTAATGCTATAAACAATGTATGCAATTAAGGGTAATTATACCTAAACTGCAGACTGGAAAATCGGCGCGGTGATGGGCGCCCGTGACACTCCAGCTCTCTGACTCGGCCGCTTCTCTCTTTTTCCTCCCTCAGCGCCAGAAGCAGAGAAGAACACGGTGGTGGAGGGAGGTGAGGTCCGCTTCAACGGGAAAGGCAAGAAGATCCGCAAGCCGCGCACCATCTACTCCAGCCTCCAGCTGCAGGCGCTCAATCGCCGCTTCCAGCAGACGCAGTATCTGGCGCTGCCCGAGAGAGCCGAGCTGGCCGCCTCGCTGGGACTCACTCAGACCCAGGTGAGCGTTTTCTCACGCGCTTCTTGAGGAATTTTGGACTTAAGCTTGGATCAGCTTTGACTCTCAGCCAGGAGGCCTGAGCTTTGCGCGTTGGAAAAAATAAACACATTTACATGGTTTTATTTATTTTGATTTATTTGAATTCTTTTATTTTTGGAGAGGCTTTATTTACACAGGCGTGTTCATTTAGACGCACGTCAAGCTTTGCCCAAACACCGAGTGGATTTTTATCCCAATCAGAATCATTGAACTGATCGATTTTTATTCTTTTGCTCCTGGACATAATGAACTCTTTGTTCGCTGACCCTCTCTCTCTTCCTCCCTCCAGGTGAAGATCTGGTTTCAGAACAAGCGGTCCAAGTTTAAGAAGCTGATGAAGCAGGGCGGCGGGGCGATGGACACCAGCGCGCTGACTAACGGTCGTGGACTGTCCACTGGCTCTCCGTCCGCGGCTCCGGTCTGGAGCTCCACTGCGCCCGTGAAGACCTCCGTGGGCTCGGCGGGCTCCTACATTCCCAGCTACACGTCGTGGTACCCCACAGCGCACCAGGACTCCATGCAGCAGCCGCAGCTGATGTGAAGCGAGCCCGGCCCTCCTCCACCTCCTCCTCCTCTAGCCCCGGGACAGGCAGCTCGGATAGCCCAAGCAGCCCAGAGAGCCCGGAGAGCCCGGAGCCAGGCCTGCACCCCAACCCAAAACACACATACTGACACACAGCCGGCCACTGCGGCTCTCCAGCAGAGCCCCCCGCCTCACATCCACTGCAGAACTGCCGTACGAGTGGGTCACACCGAGCTGCTGCTGCTCCCTCTCTCTTTTGTACCTGACATTGTACTGTGTGTAAAGAAAAACTTATATAAAGCTGTAACGAGTCTAAAAAACTTTTTTGACCCTTCAAGATTGTTTTTCCCGGAGAAAATTCGAAAGAAAGAAGTCGATTCTAAAAGATTTAAAGAACACAATTGTGAGCCTTTCAGAAAGTAATGTGGAGTTTTTTTAAGAAAGGCGTCCTATTTGTCAAACATTTTCTACAAAGCAGGGATGAAGAGGGTGTGCTGTCCCAGGCTGTGGCATTTGGAATAGCGTTGGGTAAAATCATGCGAAGGGCTGATTTTCCTCATTCCAAAGAGAAAGTCTTTATAAATGAAGATGTTGCGTGTGTGGCGCTTTTATGTGTTTATTTAAAGTAACTTATTTCGAAATTTTTTGTTTGTTTGTTTTTGTTTGTTTATGTCCGTTTGTACGCTTATTTAAATGAATGTTCTTTAAGAGGTGAGGCTGCACTAAAAGTAAGCAGCGATCCGGCCCGAGAGCAGAAGAGCTGGAGAGCTGCAGGTTCATGTACAGAAATGGCCATTCTTAGATCGTGCTGTTAACGATGTGAAAAAAAAGGATTTAAACCTGAGTATGTTTATTACAGATCCATGTGTTTAGCGTTCTACATAGCAGAATAGTTTTATATTGGTCAGATTAATTTATTGCCTTTTTTGTTTGATTGTTTTTGTTTGTTTGTTTATTTCATCGAGTCGTGTACAATGTGTAAACCCTGACAGTAAAATTCACATTTTAAAAGAAGTTTTACAAATGTCATTGGAGAGTTCATTGATTCATTGGAGAGCGAATATTTTCATGAGAACTGTGATGCTTTTAAACATTTTCCCTGAAATCGAAGAAAGGTCCAACATGTGTAATGATTAAAAAGGATTAGCCATGTAAGCTAATTACCAATTTACATACTTCTATCAATGGACTATTTAAATGGGCTATTTTATTCCAGTGGTTATACATATATTAAGAGCTGCCTTATGAGACTTGGCCCTTTTATCCAGTTCAACAGTACCGTCTCACATATATCTAATGACTAGATTAATTTAACTGTCTCTCTCTCTCCTCTGAGTGATTTCTTCCCCCTCTCTCTGCTCTGGTCCACCGTCGCCCTTAAAGCAGACGCCTTTATTCCAGGGTGAATCCCCCATTAATCTTGAGATGGTTTCTTTAACACTGCAAATCCTCTCCCAATAAGGGTGCTTGTTTCTTTTGCCTTTCGTTTAGCCGCTATAAGCTCTTCTCTGCTCTTGTGTGGCCCGTTTAGTTCCTGAATGGCGCTGTGTATGTGTGTGTGTTAAGTGAATAATGGAGTGTGAGGCAGGTGCCTGTTCAGGGGGATGGGGAGCTGAGGATGAGTACAGGGGACAAGTTCAAAGGACCTGACGCTTTAACTGCGCTTTTACAGTAAAAAATCCCGAGCATGCAGAGTCAGTGAGCCGATCAGCTGGAGAAGCTGTAACTAACTAAAACACGTCCTCAGCTCGTCTGACCTCGACTCGAATTTCTTAATCGCCTCTTAATTTCATAAACGTTAATCCAGGCTGTCACTCACAGTGTCACATTCGAGTAATTTACATACGAATTTTGGGCAACAAATATTTAGCAAACAGAACTACCGCCACTGAAGACGTTCATTTAAGGCTGGAGTTTAAGGCTAAGTCGTGCTAGCCTGCCGGAGCCACATGTCATCATTTCATGCGCTTGTGACCGAGCAATAGCGCTCAATAATCCCCCGCATTTTATAGACCGCATTTACAGACCACCTTTCCTTTCTCTCTCTCTCTCTCTCTCTCTCTCTCTCTCTGTGTGTGTGTGTGCTGCAGTAATTACTCTGACCAATTTTGACGCTCCTCATGTGGGGCCTGAGCCGGGCTCTGGAGCAGGAAAGCGCGCTGTAGCCTACAGCAAACCAAACTGATCAAAAACAGCAAAAACAGAGAAAACCTTCAGCTGGAACATAAAGATCGAGTCCTCTCTCTCTCTCTCTCTCTCTCTCTCTCTGGTTTTATAATGTAAGAATTAGCTACTGGTATAACAGTAATAGAAGGCTTACTTTAATAAATACGTTCGATTTTTAATCAAAAGTTATTATAATAATAATAATAATAATAACTCATTGTTGATATTAATTGTTGTTAATATTACTGGTACTAATTCTTTTTCTACTACTCTCGCTACTGCTTCTACTACTACTACTATGGCTACTAACAAAAACAATAAATATTGAACAATAACAGGAACAGCAACGGCAACTATTATTATTATCATTATTATTATTATTGTTGTTGTTGTCGTCGTTGTGTGCAAATAATAATAATGTAATACTATTACTGCTACTGCTACTACTCATACTAGTAATACTAGTTATTCCAACAGTAATCATGACAATAACTTTAATGTTTGTATGTAGTATTATTTCTCTTTAGTACAAATAATAAACAAAAACAAGGCCGGCAAATACGCACTATTATTTTTATAATAGTTGTTTATTAGCATTATGTATTATAGTAATATAATTTTTATTAGATTATTCTTCTTCTTCTTATTATTATTATTATTATTATTATTAGTAGTAGTAGTAGTAGTAGTAGTAGCAGTAGTAGTAGTAGTAGCAGTAGTAGTATATTTGTTGTTATTTGCTGTTGTTTCATTTCATCATTACTATATTAAGAATTATTCTATCAATTGACAGCCTGTTGTTTCCAGGGCTCAGACTTTGATCTCTTATGCTTTTTCTCTATTGGGTAAACTGTAGTTCTCTTCATACTCCTGTAAATCCTATGTTAGGTCACTTCTCATTAGGCCTGTAAATGTTGTAGGTAGTGGTCTATAGACTACACCGTTTCCTCAAACTGATAAACTAATGTTAGACTGTGTCTGTCCACATCCTTACAGGTTAACATTAGCATATATTACAATTTATGTTAATGGATAATACGGCCAATACACGGTAAACACGCAATGATTAATATAACATAACAATACAAATCTTTAAAATATTTGTTACGAAATAAATGCTAAATGCAGAGCCTAAATCTTAAGAAGGTGGTCCAAAGCGTACATGTAGGGGTCTGAGAAATGCAGCTGTGGAGCGGAGAGGGTCAGCGTTATTTCTCTGGATTCTCCTCCTGATTACGAGCCGAGCCCATCAAACCACACATAATTATAGTCATTCCGCCCTTATTTATTCTAATGCAGTTTCCCATCTACAGGATAATTATGAGCAATTTTTTTCGCACGTGGAATCTTTTGTTAACAAAAGAGATAGCGCACTGAAAGAAAATTTGCTGTGCGCTTAGCCGAGCAGAGTGAAATCGGTGCTCGGCACCCCCCTCACAGCGGCTCCGTTATAAGGAAGGCTGGCAAATTGCTTGCAGGTGTATACGGAGGGACTGTCAATAGGAAGAGCGGACAGAATTAGCAATAACACAATGTTGGAGTAATTAAGGCAGTGGAGAAATTATGGAACAAGGGCTGCCCTATTTTGTGTTAGGAACTATAGAAAGGCTAGCTCCGAAAATTTAAACACGGAATCAGTTGCGATTTTGCTTTTAGTCTAAGAAAAATGGTAATAGATTTGTGTTCTAATTTCGATTCTTTACCTGGAGGGAGAGCGCAGTGGAAACCAACAAAAAAAAACTTCAACAACAAAACAAAAAACAGAGTAAACAGCGCTTTCACCAGCACTCACTGCGCTTAAAATAATCAATGCTGTTTTTCACCCCAAACAATGTATTTGAATCAATCAGACAATCTTTGTAACGCTCGACAGAAACGCGAGAGCCGACAAAATGAAATTATTTATACTTAATATTTCAGGTGGATTTTTTCGCAGCTCTCTGTGCTGAAAATAAAACGTCAGAGCTGTTTGAGGTTTTCTGAAATATCAGGAAAATGTAACTATTTTCATTTAAATCCATCCAATATCTGATATTTTGCAGGGAAAACACGTCATTTCATTGAAAAAAGGTACTGGTAAAAGGAACAAAAAAATAAAAGTCCAACAAAAGAGACGACAGAAAGAGATGAGCTTCATTCTTACCTTCCATAAGAAGGATTGGCTCGGAGGTGAGCTGTGTTCCTATATAAATCAGTATTTGGAGGTGAATATGATGTATCCAGTGGTCTGCAGGCTTTAGGTCCCACACAACTCTTCTGCTAAGCAGGGCTAAGAGCTTTAGCAGCCGCGCACCGAGCTGCACTGAAAAATCCTGCTTTATTTTCCCTCTTTATAGCTGTTGGGGAAAAAAATTGCAGATTATTAGCATAAATGTTTACTCCTCATTACGCTGATGACATTGTGCACTCGAGATCTTGGTAATCTTTGGGAAAATTATGAGTAATTTTTAAAAATTTAAAGCAGCAGTTACCATGCAATTCAGGCTAATTTTGCGTAGGCTCCAAACGGATATAATTACCGCGGAGTCAAGATGTTATGCTAAAAACTATGCATTGATATTCCCATTTATTATGTACATACAACTTTGACAATGTTGATGCTTGAAATAGCTGGAAATTGTCTTGCGCAAAAATTACAGTCCATATTAGGACATCTAAAATTGCGAAGAATTATACAGTAATTGCAGGCTTTCGGATCGGGGAGCCAGAATGCTCAAACTGGAGCAATTGTGGATGAAATTACAGATCAGAGTATAAATTAGGGAAGGGGTATGGCATTTTTCAAGTTGTCTACAGGATTCCGGAAGTGTCTAAAACCGCATCATCACTAATCTGTGAGGGAGAGGGAGAGAGAGAGAGAAAAAGAGAGAGAGAGGCTTGAAGAACATGGGCCATCTGAGCGGCCCTGATGCTTCTGAATCCCTTTTCTTTTCTTATATGTGACATTTCCACGTCTTTAACAGCCTGGGTTGTGAAATGTCTTGATTTTAATTCCCCAATCATCTATTCTAATTTCGCTCCTTTAGCCTGTGAGTGGTGCACGAGGCTGCAGCCTCGAATAAAAAGGCGCTCACAGCCAGACCGAGTGGCTCCTCGCGCGCGCACCGTCTGTCAGAGCAGCTTTGAACAGGTGAATGTGCGCCTGACACGGCGTTACTGGACACATGTAATAAACATCCACACCAAATGTGTCTTGGACATCGATGTTTTCTGTTAGCAGATCTGACTCGTGATGGTGCAGCAGTGTATTAATTTTCCCTGAATTTCTCTAAAGAAATGTGGATATACAGAAGAATGGTGAATATAGTAAATGCTTGTATTGCTAATAAACACTTTTGAGTAGTCTCGGGCAGCAGAGCGAGCAGAGCGAGCCGCAGGATTGCGCTGTTCAACATGTGCGCTTCAACAGCCTGAGGCGGCTTATAGCATCTTGTAATGTGGCCATCACTGACAGAGTACATCCTTATTACATCTGTCTTTTTATAGCTGTGGATTATTCAGATGAAGAGTTCCACAGTACTGGAGTGGCCTAGTGGAACGCTTCCCCTTTAGATAGATAGATAGATAGATAAGCAATTTTATTTATTATTTTAAATAAAATGCCAGACAGATGTCAAATTAATCCTTCAATGTTTATATCTGAAATGTTATATCTGCGCAAGTGTACATATATAAATATTATTCACACACACACAAATCGCAAAACATGGCTAGAAGTGAATTTTTGTAATTAAGTCTTTTGGTCACACGGATCTAATCATTTTTAACAAAACAGTAGAAAACCAAAATTTGATTCTGACTAAAACATATAAGGAATACACAGAATTAACCCATTTTAAACTGTTTCTCTTAGATGTTCGTCAAGGTAAAGCTAAATGAAATGTGATCACTTTAGACCAATCATAACAGCCGTTTTTTCTTATCATTCTAGTTATAATTGTGTTGGACATGAATGGGTTAACCTGACAGTTGCGCATAATAAAAACGCAGTTTTGTCCAACATAAAATCTATGATTAGCCAATATTTTTACATCATAACAGTTGTACATTATTCATTAATCCTACTAAAAATTTATAACTGACTCACTACCCCGAGTATTTCAATAGGAGCTGTAAATGAACGCAGCCTGTGGGTTTGTGTTATGGAGGGGAGGTGGAGGCTGAGGGAAATGTTTCTGTGTTTGGTTTGAGGCGCTGTTTTGGCGCTGGAGTTTGAGCTGAGCTGACTCCAGAGAGTCTGAGGGGGGCTGAACTCGCTCAGCTCATCTCCTCCGGAGCAGGCTGAGGCGTGTTGCTCCTTCTCCCGCTGCACACCACCTACAGCCAGCCAAGCTGCTCAAGACCACTTTGTAAAAACGATGTACCATAATATATGAGACGTGTGGCACAATTTTGTTGCGTAGAAGAATTCGGCTCTCTTTTATTACACACCCGCAGACAGGCTCTCTGTAAAAGCGCTCTTGTCCTACAGCATACTCAGACACACCTGTCACGTTCATGCACGAAAGGTGAATTAGTGAGTTGTGTCTGAAACATTTACAAGCATCCCGCCTTCAGCAGACTGCTTCCAGCGCGAGGAGCTCTGCTGGCGCCAGAGCAGCGGGAGGAGGCGTGGAGGAGGAAAAAGAGCCACAAATTCCAGCAGTGCATAAAGCCCTATAGCAAGAGACTTCAGCAAACAGTCAGGGGAGAGGAGGAGGAGGAGGGGGGGGGGCATTGCAGTGATCGTGCATTTTGTCTTTGTGCAAAATCGTAAATGAGCAATAAATTCACATGAAACATTGTTTTTTATTTAAATAAGTGTGACTCATATAATGGCAGAATCGTTCATTCAGCATACGAAACAAAATAAATAAAACAAAATACTTCCGAGGAACGTGTTACATGGGGACTTTTGATTTTGGGGGAAAATCAGTAGCTTCTGAGTGCTTTTCGGTCATTTTTTTCCCCTCAACATCCAATGATAAAGGAAAAAAAAACCCCTACATGATAACCTACAAGATGAGGGTGAAACCTACAGGTATACAGGGACAAATACCGCAACCTCCTACTTACCTTATGTACAAAATAGAAATGAACGAAAGATTATGAGAACAGCGATGAGCACATTTAAAATACAATACGGTGGACAACGAAAGTGAGGTCATTTTTTTCTTTTGAAAAGGCACGATACAGCTTCAGATTGTGCTACATAACGTGACATTAACACACCCTGCTATAAAGTTCACTCGGGCAGGAGGAGCCTTTTATAGCACAGCTTTGGATCTTAGTGGTTCATTAAACAATTACTTCTTTCTCTCTCTTTCATTCTTTTTTCATTTTTCCACCTGGAGAGACAAAATAAATAAATACAAAAATAACTGTGTGTGGTTTTATTCTTTCGCGTCTGCCCGTTGACGACATTGTGTAAAAGAAAAATGAAAAGAAAAGAAGAAAAAACACAGTATTTATACGCAATGGTTCGCCGGTTTAAGCAGTCGCGGCATCTCTCGGAAATCGAGGCCTGTGTGAGTCACATGAAGCTTTCAGTCTTGCAAAATGAATTTTTCCAGTTGGAAAAAAAATAGTCAGTGTTCATTTCTGTTTGTTTGTTTGTTTTGTTTTGTTAAAATATGGTCCCGGCGCTCACGGCTGTGTTCTGGTGGTGCGCTGCCAGTGCGCTGGGCTGTAGGTGCGTGGCCGAGGCTGTGCTGGAGTACCAGGTGTAGTTGGGGAGGAATGAAGGCGCCGTGGTGCTGGGCGAGCCGCTGCTCTGCGCCAGAGCCGGAGGCACTCCGTTCATCCTCTGGCTGTGCGGAAAGTCCCAGGCGCTGCTGACGGGTGGAGAGTGGCAGGGGGGAGACTCGCTGGAGGCCACGTGCTGCTCGGGCGGAATCTCTCCGTTCTTCCACAACTTCTTGAACTTGGAGCGACGATTCTGAAACCAGATTTTCACCTGAAACCAGAGAGACACACGCCTGTTACTCAAATGGACGGCTGCACCCTCGAACCGGCTCTGCAACAAACGACTAAAAAACGCCTTCCCTGATACTGGCTGGCTGGGACGAGCGATGGGCTCGACCAGCAACTCACGCGCCCAGACTCGCAGCTATTTTGTGAATAAGCGATTTTCATTTGGGCCCATGCTCTTTAAAAAGATGCTTCTTCAAAGGTTCATTGGGCACTTTAGAACCATGAGAAGCATTTCAGACTTAAATGGTTCTTTGCACGGTGGAACGGTTCTTGAGACTGATTGAGAATGTGTTGTATACCAAAAAGAGTTCTGTTACAAGCTTGACATTGTAACAATAGCAGAACCCTTTTTTGTGGATATGCAACACATTCTCCATCAATCTGAAGAAACATTACACCATACAAAGAACCATTCGAGTGTGAAATGATTATATGCAGAACTCATTTTTCTACATAGAACCATTACCTTTACCTAAGAACCCTTGAAGAACCATCCTGTATAATAGTGCTTCATTAAAGCAGTACAATCATTTATAAACGAAAATAATTTTGGTATTTCCATTATTTTTATATCTTTCACATTACAGGAAATCGTATTGTGGCGTGCTAATTAGGATACTCAATACGAATATACCTACAGCGATTTCAGAATTCACTTTAATACAATTCGAGTTGTTTTAAAGACAGATCACAGCTCCATATTTATAACTGGTTAGCAGCACATATTATTCTCATGCGCAGAAAGAATTTGGCTTTGTTTAAACGTATTTCTCCCTCTAAAAAGCGTGATGGAGGCCTCTGGGCTGGCCCGAACTGACTGACCTGGGTCTGGGTGAGTCCCAGCGAGGCGGCCAGCTCGGCTCTCTCCGGCAGCGCCAGATACTGCGTCTTCTGGAAGCGCCTCTGCAGCGCGGCGAGCTGGAAACTCGAGTAGATCGTTCGGGGTTTTCTCACTTTCTTTGGCTTCCCGTTCACCATCCGGATTTCAGGCTCACTCTCCTCCTTTTCTGCAATCACAGTTAAAAACAACCTCAGTCTGCAGCTTTTCGCACAAAAAAAGTCTTAAAAACACAGTAGGACAGCTGAATTAGCCTCTGTGTAGTGGGCGTTAATTCCGCGCTAACTAGTTACAATAACGTTTCATACAAAAGCTTTAAACAACAGATTTTTCGAATCTATAATTTGAATGAGATGCATTATGAGTTATTTTACCAGAAATAACATTAAAATTAGCTCTAAAACAAAAGCTTTGAAAGGTAAGAAGATGAATTAGCTTAGCTGCAAAACCTACGACCACAACATCTGTACCTTTTGCTGCGAAACAGCAGTAATGGGCTGAATAAATAAGAGAATGAAGTGGTTTTATTTCGGCTGCTATTACCTGTGTCTGCCGGAGTGGGTGAAGTGCTCGAGCCGTAGGTGCCGTACGGGCTGAAAGAGCTGTTGAATCCCAGGTCGTATGACTTGTTGCCGTACTGCACGCCGGTCATGCCGTTGCTGTGGTACTGGTAGGCGCCGAGCTGTCCGTAGGGCGAGCCTGCGCAGTGTCCAGCCTGCTGGTTCGTGTAGTAGCTGCTGTCTGTGGCCGTGGACACTGGTAAAGTAGGGGATTCCTGGGATTTGTGCAAGCTGTGGTAACTGCTCGAGGTAATCTGGTTGGAATGCATATCTGTGCTGAGACTGTCGAAAACTCCAGTCATGGTTACTGTTCAAACTAAAAAGCGTAGAAATAATTTACAGGCACTCATCCAATAAAAACCGGAGGAGAAAAAAAAAACAGGAAAAGCTCACGATCAGTTAGCTGAATAAGTTTTTTGTGTTAGCTGTCATTCCTCTGAGTGCCGAAGAAGCAGCGGCGGTGTTTTCCGACCCCAGATCCGTGATTGTCTGTCAGCAGAGGCGGCAGCGCGCGGCATTTATCCTGCGTCACGTGGGAGGATGAAGTCGCGAGCGACCAGCAGCCAATGGACGAGGAGTTCACGGACAACAGCTCGGCCGGGCTAGACTGTGAACGAGTGGGGTAGAGGTTAGTTTAGAAAGAAAGAAAGAAAGAAAGAAAGAAAGACGAAAAGCAAAGAAAGGAAAAAAGAGAGAATCAAAGAAAAAAGCAAACACAACAGCACGCAAGCAAGACAACAGTTTATTTAACTTTATTTTTCAAGTTAATTCAGAGAAGTGAACTGAGAAGAGCGAATCTGTCTCTGTGAATTACAGAGGCTGCGCAACGTACATAATGTTCTGATTCACTCTGCCTTTACTCCACTTTACTGACTGTATCACTTATTCTAGTGTTAAAGGCCAAACATTTGGCCCCGGTGCGACATCTGTCGGCCAGAACAACACCCAAAAAAGCCATACAAACAAGACCTTCAACACTCAAACTCTTTCTATCCTGAATCAAGGTGAGATTTAATAATAAAAATGTAGAAACAAGTATCATCTATGGCAACATTTATAAACCATTCTCTCACTTTAAAATAGACGCTGTAGGCTATATCACACGGTAAACTATAGCCTGTTTGTATGTGTCTTCTCAGCACATTTAATCTACCACAACGCAATGCACTGACCTTTAGGCATTTCTTTACTTTGATAGATTACTTTGATGTATGAAAATAAATATGTGATAATGTCAAGAGAGGGATTTTTATGGCGATCGAAATGATTATTTAAGTCAAATCAAATCAAGCTTTATTGCTCACTCACAGCCATACAAAGTGTAACGTGCAGTGAAATGCTTATGGAAGAAAAACGTAAAATATAAAAATATAGGGATGTGATAAAATATATGGGTATGTAAAGTGCAGATGTGTATATGTGTGAAAATGAGCAGGAGGCAGTGGAATAAAAGGGGTTCATAACTATTGTAAATACCTATTAAATACCTACCTATACCTAGCCAGATATAGTCAGAATGTGGGACATTTTTTCATTTGGTGTATGTGCCTCTTATGTTTTGTATGAATGTTTCTGAAAACTAGACACAAGAAGTCCGTAAGTTTGCGGTCACCTGCTCATCCAATGTTTCTTCCGACACCAAGAATATTAATACGCCCCCCCATTAGTGACAAGAGCATTAGTGAGTCAGGTACTGATGTTGGATGATTTGTTTTGGATCACACTCCGACTCATCTTAACTGTTGGATGGCACTTCGTTGTTCCAAAGAACACAGTTCCACACTCAGGGCCAGGCCAGTTTTAGAATATTAGATACACGTACTGATGTTAAGTAGCCTATAAAAAATTATACATACATTTTTAAATTAGCTGCTATTTGCAATTGTTTTATTATTTTAAATAAAGTCAAGGCAGCCACACGGTGAGATAATTTTACTTAATATTTTTATAACAATCTCAAAATGAGAAATATTAATATATGCTCTATATTTAAGATAATTTCACTTGCCAAGATAATCTTTTTTGCAGTGTATGTGCATCTAGCAGGCCCTATTTCTGTGTTTTGCCTAAAGCCCCAGAATCACTAAATCCTCCCCTGCCTAACTGTTATTTAGCCCCTCTTTCCCAAATAAATGCACATTACTCTGTAGTTTATTCTCTTTCATTCTTCATTATTCAGCTGTCCCATCGCGTCTCCAAATATACTGTAATAACAGGGCGTGACCTGAGGGAGGTGCTACTGCCGCTCTAATGCAGCCTCTGCTGTAACGTAAAGTGAAAAATGGAACAACCGGGTCGGCCAATCATATCAGACCTTGTAAGTTATAAGCCAATCTTATCAGACTTCATAAGCTGTAAGACAATCATATTAGACCTGCGGGAGCGTCTTTGGTGATACTCGCTCTTTAATATAAGGCAAATCAGCAACTGCTGAAGCTGAAGACAGGATTTTGGCTAAAAACTAAAACCATGCTTATTAAAAATCTATAGCATACAGAAAGACACAGCACTTACAGAGTGACGATACCCACCTACAATATGGATTTGTGGCAAATTATGGTCAGTATAGCTAACTATCAGGTTTTTACTCGTTGCTAGCTAGCTAACTGGGTTTACGTAAGGTAAAGAAAAGGGTTTAGGCTAAAACTAACGTTAGCTAGCTGAGAAGCCCATTAGTTTAAGAATTTGAGGAAATTTCACTTCATAGTCAGAGTGTGAATGAGCGACAGAGATAGAAATAACATTCATGACAGCTATTTACATTTTTTGCTTTTATATTTCTCTTCAGTATTGGGAAACAGTGAAACCAGTATTTGTCATATATTGTTGTTTACAGTAAGTTAATGTCAGTGAAAAAGTCATATAATGTTGATCACAACGCAATTTTATATCTCCCTATTCCTCAACCAGCAGATGGAAACTAAGAGGCAAATGTTTAGCAGTTAAAACAAAATAAAAAAAGGAATTGATTGATCACTATTGATTGATACACCACGTGTATCTTTTATTTCTGTGTGTGGAGTGGTCTGATCTGTGGCGTTGGTATACTTGGCGGCAACATTTTCTCCATGATCTTTTTTTGACTGGGCACATCATATCAAACAACCCTTTCAGATATGATCTGACATCTGCAAAAACCACTGCATTTATCACGAGTAATAGAAATAGAACATTTTAAATATCAAAAGCAGTTTAGCAACTGCTTTTCCTACACGCCGACTGGATCGTTGAGTCCTGCAATCTGATTGTCTAGTTAAATGATGCTGTTGATTGACTCGTTGAATACTTCAATCTAATAGGCTAGCTGAATGCGTCATTGATTAGGTGAATGCTGCAAGCTGATTGGCTAGTTGAATCCTGTTCTCTGATTAGCTTGTGTAATCCTTAAAATAATCTCATCTGATTGGTGATCTGAATGCTGAAATGTAATGGACTAACTGAACGCTGCACTATCAATAGACGGGCCAGTCCTGCATGCTAAATTTTGCACTCCAAATGGACAGTTGATTCCTCAAATCTAATTGGATAGCTGATACTTGAATCCTAAAATCTAATTGTCCATCTGAATGTTGCCAAGATGTTTTTTTTTTATTATTATTTTTTTTTTATAAAAACAACTCATACATGTCTGATATAAAAGTAAGTGTTAACCTTGTTTCAAGCACCTACCATTTGTAAATAATTCAGTCGAAAAAGGCATAATTAGAATTTACCCCAGAGGTGAGGGTGATTGTAACAGGCTGGAAGCTTTTTAAACAGTGGCTTAAAAGTCTATCAAGTTGCTGAAAACACTGTCAATTCAATACAGTTCGTTGTTATTTGAATTTTCCAACCTAAATGAATAACAATAGACACGAAGTTCAAAACGCTGGTGCTGATCCACTCGCATCAGCACAACACACAATAACCACGTCAGTGTCGCTGCAGCGCTGAGAATGATCCACCACCCACGTAATACCTGTTCTGTGGTGTGGTGGCACCAATATGGAGAGTGGAACTAATAAAATCAATAGGACAATAAGTGTGGAAACAAAGTGGTGTACTTAATGAAGTGGCCAGTTGGTGTACGTAATAATATGCATGACTAGTGAAAAGAAACTAGTGAAATGAGCTTACATCAAACCGTAACCTTTTATTTGACTAGGAAATAGAAAAGCAAATATAAGTTTTGTGATGAGTATGTGAATAAAATGTTACAAACGATCTATTTTTAATTTATATGATGGATATAAGCTTCTCTCATTATTTACTTTAGATGGCTTGAGAGTAACTCCGTGTAGGGCCCTGAGTGACACACCAAGCCGACTGTCGGCTGTCACTGACCGTCGCCTGTAGCGGTGTGTCTGCACAATTGGCTTTAGTCTATCTGTTGCCAGCGCTGTTTTGGCCGATTGAGCATGTTAAATCGGATTTTTGGTGAGAGAGAGCTTTCTGATTGGCTGTTTAGCAAAACGACTCCGTTCACAAATCAGTGCCCGCCCATGGCAATGATCACTGCAGTACCTACCTGCTCCACACCGAAGCTGTGGTGTTAAGTGGCAGCTGTAATAACTGCAGCACACCAGGAGAGGGCGGTATTCCATATGCAGTGCGAGCCTTGGGCCTTTTGAATGCTTTCCGAGGAAATATCTGAAAATCAGTTTCCCATGATGACATTATGTGTTAACGAAAGAGAAATACGTTAAATATTATTTGTTTCAGAAAATCACGGCATGTGTGTATGTTAATATTGTAATATTTCAACAAAAGGTGCATCTTAGAAATGTTAAAATGTAAAAAATTAAAGAGGTTTCAGAAAATAAATTTCACATTAATTGACAGAATTCTCTCTTTTTAGCCTCACGCTACTAGTTACATTAGAATAACAAGTTTAATGTTCTTATTTATTTGTTTATTTATTTGTTGTTTGTTTGTTTTTATTAGTGGCTGAACAGCTGAAACCTTGTAATGCACAGTGTCAAAAACAAAAACAAAAAAAACATAATGCAAAGGAAAATATAAAGAAATAGATTTAAATAGCTACAATATTCACATAGTAAGACATAGCTGAGAAACTACTCTCTTTAATTTCACTAAATGGTAAGGTGATATTTTGGTCTTGTTATCACTGCAGCAGTAAAAAACATACAAATAGAGCTTCAGCTTACTCTCCTCTGAAATCATAGATCTGTTATATTTATATATGTTCACAATTAAAGTTGCATTCTTAGCCGCAATTCCAAGCCACAAAGCGTTATAAAAGCATCTGTGCAAACACTCTTACACCAACAGGGGGCAGCACCGTGGCTAAAACGCCTTACTGGTAGAGCAACGGCATGTGATCAAAGAAGGAGACTTCGAAATCGGCTCCTTGTCTGATCTTACAGCTGTGTTGAGCCATTATGTATGGGTTTACTTCAGAATTATTTCGGTCTAATTCAAAAGTGACTGATTAATAAAAGGACTGTTCCCTCAGTATCAATGACAATTTGTCCTACC